TTTTTTTTTTTTTTTTTTTTTTTTTTTTTACATTTAGGGCTTTTAGTTAATAATCAGCTTATATTAATCAGCTTATATTGTTCGGTGTTTGGCAGCCAGATGGCTGTACAGCCCTTAAGGTCTTTGGCCACCCTGTGGTGATGACCCAAACTGCCTGCCCTACTCCAGGGTGGTTTCTGCCGATGTGAGCTAAGGGGCCTGGGCAGTTCCCTGTCGCCATCAGCGTTGTCTTGGGCAGCACATCTGCCGATGCGTCGTGGTAGTCACGCCAGCGATGTGGGTCCACCTTCAGTTGTGGCTCGAACTGTTCTTGGTTCCTGCCAAGCATTTAGACTGGAATACAGAACTGCTCTTCAGAACTGCTACTCTTCACCTCATGGATTTTCCCAGTGCTTCCATCACTTTAGCAGCCTGTGTCATGAAGAGAAGGTTTCAGGCACGTAGCTGATGTGGTGAAAGAAGGAATGTTGCCCTCATAGTGTCTCCGGTGGGACCCGAGTGAGGGAGGAAGGCGACACATGCGTTGCTCTGCCTTGCCACAGCTGAGTGCTCTGCTTGAGATGAGCGTTACCCTCGCAGTGCTTAGTGATTTAATGGTATTTCGAATGACATGCAGGCTAATTATTGTGCATCTTTGAAGATAATGATATAATTGCAGCTTTGTAAATGGAGATGAGGATGTAGAAATATAATAGGAATGCTGAAAGAGAAAGGTGTAATTCATGAAAAGATTTGGCTTCTTAAATGGGACTTGGAAGGAGTGTGAGTACCTGGACCCCAGAGCACTGTCCTTGAAGTCTCCATCTAATCCCATGGGCTGCTGAAGGTCGGTATGTCCTTACCTCATGCCCGACTCCTGCTCAGATTAATCATTTCCTGCTCAGATTAATCATTTCTGGAGCCATGTTCCTGCCAGAATGTCTGAGATGTTGTGTTGAAGTCGTGCTTGTCCTGCTAAATCTTGTCCCCATCGCTTTTTTTAGGAACTCTCCGAGATATGATGGAGGAAATGCTGTTTCCTCCTGATTTGTTTATCAGATGAGGCCATGTTTTAAAATTGGGTCAAAGTGATCTCAGATTTATCAGTTTCCATTTGCTCTTTCCTAGATGTGGTTCTGATATAATCCTGTTGTGTTTGGGGGATTTCTGTCCTGTTGCTTTTTGGCTTTTTGTTGACAACAGGTTGATGTAGACTCCAGTTATTTTATATAATTCAAAGTAAAGACTGTGCAGTGGCAGTCCTGGGAATGCTACCAATTGTGCCAAATATCCAAACATCTTGAAAAAGCCTAAAATGATTTATTTTCAGAGGTAAGGGGAAAAAAAGCTTTTTTAAAAACAAAAATGGATACCAATCTTTTGCTAGATTGAAAGAATAGGCCTTAAAAATATCTCGTTCTTCCATATATTTATTTTTCTTTTTCTTTCCTGTCGGAAATAACACTGCTAGTTTTAGCTCTCTTCTACTTGGAAAGTTGATTGGATTTTCACCGCTAGATAAGCCTGATTTTTTACAGAACCTTACAGAACTTCCCAATATTCTGTGGATTTTTTTATTTTTCTGTAAAGATTTTTTTGGGGGGGAAGGTTGGGTAGTGGCTAGACTTATGGTATAAAGTGTATGTGAGAGATTAGGTTTCCACTGCTGTTTCAAATAACTTTTCTTTAGTTCCTTGTGCCTTTTACTGTTAGGAGAGTCTGGCTTGCCCAAATTAGCGCTGGTAGAATTTATCTAATTCTTTCATTTAAATGAGTAGATGCTTGTGGTATATTTAAGAAACCGATTACCTCCGCAGAAATTAACTTTTATTTATTTTAATAAAATTTATTTTATAAATAAAATTTATTTTATTTATGACATGAATTTTGTTAACACAATTTTCTTTTTTTGAAGAGATTTTACTATAAAAATGTAAGGATGAGACAGGTTAATTTTAGGAATGTTAATCAGACCATTTCAGTTTTAGCTATAAAGTCATTTTATTTAAACCTTTTTATAACAATCTGTAACATTTAAACATTAAACTTTTTTTTTTAAGGACAAGACTGTTATTAATGTTGATAACCTTCATTTATGGATTTAGTGAAAAGATATGCTGATATCATAAATTTTCCCCCAAAAAAACAGTATTTGCATGTTGCCTTTCCTTGGTTCAGAAGTCCATAAATTGGAAAACTCCTTTCAGCTTTACTATTTTTTATTTGCTGTGCAACTTGCCTATTGCACATCTTTGTATTTCCATCACCATAAAACAAAATCATCGTCTAAAAGCAG